GAAGGGAAAATGAGACATGGAAAGTGTTTGCTGATATTTTTAAGGTAATTTCATGAAATGTATCATGAATCCAACAGCCACCCAAAGTTATCCTGAAGTAAGATGGCTGTCAGTTCAATAAAGTTGCGTAGACAGTTTGCAACTCGAGCAGAACCATACCAAAGAAAGAAGGGAAAATGAGACATGGAAAGTGTTTGCTGATATTTTTAAGGTAATTTCATGAAATGTATCATGAATCCAACAGCCACCCAAAGTTATCCTGAAGTAAGATGGCTGGTCAATACCTTTTATAAATAAACAAGCAGATATTCTAATATCTCTATTCTCCTGTAACTTCAGATTTGTTTGTTATGTTTTAGTCCTCCCCCCCCCCCCTACTTAACTTGCAAAGTGTTTTTGCTATGAAGTTCTTCTTTATTCTAAGTTCAGGACCATCCATCTCCTTTTCTATAAAATACAGAAGATCAAAGCTAAAGATTGGGAAGGCAAATGCTGGCCTCCGTCCCAATTGAACTTTGAACTTCTTTAGCTTCTCCATAGTTTTAAATGGGAGGCTTGATAAATGAGCATGAAACAAGGAGATTTTAACAGGCAAGGAGTCCAGATGCTACATCTATGCAGCCGTGATGACATCTATTCTTGCATGTGCAAAACTGACCTGGCAAACCATATTCAGGACACGATACATTTTAGGGCTCTGGATGATGACATTGCTAATTCTCCTTCGGAGCAGGGAAAGCAAAGCTTGTCCTGTAGAGTCTGGCACATCAGGCCTGCATCAAATGATTGATGTCACAAAGGGAGGATTATGATCTCCTGGTTTCAAAAGCAAGAGGAGGGCACTGAGCAAAGGGGCACATAACATTTGTCTGCAGTCTTGCTGTAATATGGACAGTGTGGCAAAACCCGGGGGAAGAAATTCTTAATAATGCAGTGTAAGAATTCCATGCATGTATAATTAAATTAGATTGTTGTAGTCAGACAATTGCCCCTTTGTTATTGTATAAAGCACAGTTTTAAAGGGTTGTGCTGTTGTTTTCTAAAACTTAACTTGCAGGGAATCCATTCAATGGAAGGAGAGAAGGAGATGCAATAAATAGAGTGATGATATAATTTTACAAATGTGATTATTAGATTATGAGGAAACATCTTGAAAATGTCGACACAAACCAATTGCTTTTAAAGGGACAAGCAAGCGATGGTTCACTTTGGACTGAAATACTGTGGCATACTTAATTATAGGAGGTTTGCACTGTAATTAACTGTAATGAGCAAAAATGTAGTGTTTTGTGTTTGCAGTAACACACCAGGAAACATTTGTGCTTAGATAACAATTCCAATTCAGAAGTATTATTCATATGAAGCTAAATTGTCTTTAATTTGGCATGGCTGGTGCTTTATATGAAAGTGATATTTCAAATATTTCTCATAATGCGGTTTTATTTAGAGCTAGCAATATCTTTATATTTTGTTTTCTCTTGGCTGATCTTTATATATCTGTTTTAATACTCCAGGTCTCAAATATTTTAAAGCCACATTTGGTGATATTGCACTCACTTTACTATTGCAATATTCTAACTTCAACACTTGTATGGCAGTATTATAGCAAGTTAATAGAAGTAAATTACATTCCAAGATCCTTTAGTTGTTATTAATGAGCTCATGATGAACTTGATATTTTTCCTTCCTAGTTGGATGTCTTTTCTTTTTCAAAAACAGTTCTCAAATTTTGATGGCACTTTTTTTCCCCTGAAAGCATTTTAGTGAATATAATTCAGATTCTAAACCTATTCAAAAGCATATACTATTGAGTTAATGGATTTCATTTCTATTCACAGAGGCAGATTTACTGTATAGTACAAAAATGAAATTGCTTTGCTATTTGATTCTGTATAATCTAGACCGAACTTCCCAATTTGAAATGAATTTCAATTATTATGTTTGCTGGAAAGCCTCAAAACTATAATCAAGTATGCATGGAAAATAGCAGATTGAGGAAGTCTAGTCTAACTTTATCAACCTGGGATGTTACTTTTCTGTCTCATGGCTTTAATCTTATAGGTGGCTTGCCTTTGCTGATAGATGGAGCTATACTTTTC